GGTCTTGATTTGTCAGGGTAAGGATTGCTTTATGCTTCCTTCCACCCTGCTACCGCCCTGAGCCTGGCCTCGGCAGGCGCAGTCCAAACCATGGAGGCAACCTGAGTTAGTTCAGGTCCCCTGGGTGGGCACAGGGGACTCTGCTGCCAGCTCGAGGCCCAGCACACAGCAGCTGCTGGTTGCACTGATGCCCCATCGGGATGGAGTGTCTTAGCTGTCTGAGTAAGCAGGGTGTCCCCAACGTGGGGTGTGAGAGGGTCACAGTGCCGTTGTTACCTAGCCAGGCTCCAGGACCACAGTGATGAGACACTCTCCGGGACTTGCTACTGGTGAGTGAGGATGGGCCCTGTGTGCTCAGGTGACTCCAACAGACCTCTCCCTGGAGACCACCAGAGGGGGAAGACCACAAGCTTTAGGCTAGGAAGTGCCACTCATCCTGCCCTGTGGCACATGCCCAGACGTCCTCACCCAGGCAGCCAATGGCCTCTGCATACTGTCTGGATGGCCTGAAGACAGTCCTTCCCTGCCCAGGGGCCAATGAAATGCCTTCCTGGGAAAGCTGGGCAGTGGGCAGGCACACGTTCCCTTCCCTGCCTTAGCCGGGAGTCAGGTACAGCCTGTGGCGTAAGACTCTCACGCCTAGCTGCCCAGCATCACCCACAGCATAAGCATCCTAACCTGCTGCAGACACCCTGGGATCAGGGGCTGCTATTGACCCATCTTCCAGAAGAGGGTTGTTCTTCGATACTCTGCCCTAGACACCAAACGGGACCAGCAGGGCTGGGATTCAAGCCTGGGCCTCCTGGCCCTCGAGGCGGAGCTCTAAGTACCAGGCTGCCCTACCTCAAAGCCTGCTGTCAGCTCAGGGAAGGCGAGGAGAGAAGGGGTGCCTGGCCACTGGGCACAAGCCGCCGAAGGGGAAAATCAAACCTGAGCCACATGAGCCAGCAGGACTGGCAATATACAGACACTCAGGGCCCACTGAGTCAAGCTGGAGTCCCAGCAGGGGCCCCCAAATTCAAAGAAACAGCCATTCTGAGGAGGGAAATCAAGTTCATCCTCACCTCCACACTCCATTTTCCCCTCATCTCCCACATGTCTCACCGGGACTTACAAGAGCTGAATTATTCCATTGCAAGAAACCCTCTGAATTCTTCTGTGTGAACCCTCAGCCTGAGATTAACCAGGGACACTCGGCAAACGTGGTCTCCGATAAGTCCTCGGAGAAGTCCTGTCTAGTTTATTCAGCTGGCATTCCTCCTACTTAACAGACTGTGACCCCTTCCCTTCGAGGGGCACCTGTGGCTCTTCAGGGAGCGTGGGCTGAGAAAGCCTGGTGCAGGACCGATGCCATAAACTTCCCCAGAAGTTACTGTTCTCAAAAGAGCCAACACGCCCAGCTTGGCAGCTTACCAGGCGTCCGTCACAGCTATTCAACTCTGTGACTTGACCTCAAAAGCTGCTGAGGACCACAGGGAAAGACGGGCGCGGCTGGTGCCACCAGACACATTTGTGGACGATGAAGTGAATATCATAGCATTTCTTGTGCCAACCAGAGTTTTCTTCTGGCTTGTTGGGAATTGTTTAAATTATGAAAACTTGGGCTAGGGAGATGGCTCTGCGGGTAAAGTGCTGCTCTCCAGGCAGGGACAAGGATGTGGCTGCATCTCCGGCATCCATGTAAAAAAAGCCGAGCATGACTACATGCATCGGTAACCCCAGCACTGGGGCTCTCGGGGAGTGGAGACAGCTGGATCCCTGGAGTTCACTGGGCAGCCTGTCCATCTAATCAGCGAGCTCCACACTGAGTGAGAGGCCCTGTCTAAAAGAAAAAAGGGGGCGGGGTGGGCAGTGAAAGAGGGAGGTGGCTGATCTTGACCTCTGACCTCTACAGACACATGTGCATTTGTATCCATGCACACCTACACACATACACCCACCCATGCACAGCTACACAATACACTCACACACATGCACACACACACTCACAGGCTCACACAGGTGCACACTCACACACAGATGCATGCACACTCACACATGCACACTCACACATACTCACACAGGCTCTCTCTCTCTCTCTCACACACACACACACACACACACACACACACACACACACACATTTTCTTTTAGAAGCTGTCTTACTCCGGCACAGGAGAGTTGGAAGCATGGGTCCCTGTGTTCCACTGGCGACCTTGTCTCAAAAACCAAGATGGAAAACAAATGAAGCTGACCTCTGACCACCATTCACACACACACACACACACACACACACACACACATACACACACACACACACACACACACACACACAGGAGAACACACCAACACAGAGAAGAAAGCAGAAATTGCAAACTGCGCCTGTGGGAAATGCCACAGCTCTCTTAGGAGAAATGGTACTAGACACAAGGCGCCACTGTCCTATCGGTCATTAGTAAGGAGGGCAGGAGTGAGAGCTCGAACCGTCGAGGGACCAGCAGCCAGCATCCTGGACAGCAGGAGAGGCTGTGTGGAAAAACAGGCTCCCTTTACCCAACACCTACTCACGCTGAATCTACATTTTGAAAGGTGTCCCGGGAAACCCTCTGGGAGGCACACACTTGCCACCATACATGCGTGGAGACATTTGGGGCTCAAGGATTAAACTCAGTCTCTCTCGGGTAAGTGTCCTTACCTCTCCATGTTCCCACTGAGACACAATTTTAAATCTCTCCCCACACCAACTCATGGAATCTTCTAAGGACCTCATGGCCAACACCCCCTTACCACCCTCACGTTGGAGACGAGACTGCCACGATTCTGACAGGTTCAAAGTCACGGGAGAGCATGGCTGTAGACACTAATGGTGTGAGGTCATAAAACACACCTTCTTTTGTGGTTGTTGTTTTGTTTCTTTTTTGTTTCTCTGTGTAGCCCTGGCTATCCTGGCACTCACTCTGTAGCCCAGGCTGGCCTCGAACTCACAAAGATCCACCTGCCTCTGCCTCCCAAGTGCCACCACCGACTGGCCCAGAAAGCACTTTTGTAGGAGATGTGATCAATCTCCAGGACCAGCTGTCACCTGAACACTGTGATGGTTTGAGTGAGAAATGCCCCCATAGTCTTTGGCATTTAAACACTTGGGGCCCCCAGTTGGTGGTGCTTTTCGGGGAGTCTTAGTTGGTGCAGCCTTGCTGGAGGAAGTACATAACTGTACTTTGAGACTAAAATGCCCCTCCTACTTCTGGCTTGGGTTTCATGTGTCCATGTGTGTTCCTGTCACTATATCTACTGCCTGCTGCCACGATGTCCTCACTATCATGGACCATAACCTTAAGGAACTTTAAGCCAAAACAAACCCTTTTGTCTGTAAGTCATCTTGGTCATGGTATTTTATCACAGGAACAGGAAAGTAACTAAGGCACACACCATCATGCTGTGTGATAATCTTTTTGCACCTTGTGATGATGTGTCTTTGCTAGGGCGCCTTCTGATTGATTTAATAGAGAGATGAATGGCCAATCATTAGGCAGAGAGAGGTTAGGCAGGACTTCCGGGAGAAAGAGTAACTCAGGCAGACGAATCTAGACACCAGAGAGACAATGAAGTAGCTGGACTTAAAAGGATGAAAAACAGATAAAAAGCCACGTGGAAGAACAGAGACTAATAGAAACAGGTTAATTTGCTACAAAGCTAACTGGGAACAAGCCCAAGCTAAAGGCCAAGCTTTCATAATTAATAATAAATCTCCATGTCATTATTGGGGAGCTGGTGCTCCCAAAGAGCGTCCAACAAGAAAGTCTGGCTACACCACCATTTGTATGAGAAGCAAAACAGAGATCAGAATCTACGCCTAAGCTCTTAAGAACCCGGACATCATCCCTGTAGAGGTACCCATGAGTGCTAAGCAGGATTTACCTGGGGAAAGTGGAACTCGGAATCTGGGGGAAGGAAGTGGGGGGAGGAGGCTACTGTGACACACTTCCACCATGCTGTCTATGGAGGGGTGAGTATTTCCTATGCCAAACTGAATGAAGAACAATGTGCTTTCACTTTCCCCTTCAAATGAGTGGAAAGTTGCCAGGTGGTGCATGCTTCTAATCCAGGACAGCCAAGACCACACAAAGAAGCCCCATCTCTCAAAAAGCAAAACAAGTAATAATAATAACAAAAATAACAACTGGTGGGAAAGGAGTTGGAAGGATGGCTCCTGCTCTTGCAGGAGACCCGAATTCAGTTCTCAATACCCATACCATTCTCCTCAAAATCACCTATAACTCCAGTCCCAGGGGATCTGATGCCCTCTTCTGGCCTCTGAGGTCACCTTCACTCACGTGCTCATGCACGCACATACACAGACACGCACCATAAGGAGTGAGCTATGCCGGGAAGGACCAGCTAACAACGGCTTCTCCACCAATGTGACCTCAGTCCTTCAATATCATCCCACAGAGAACACTTGGCAATGTCTAAAGACATTCTGGGTTGGTACTACCCAATGCTTGGAAGGTCAGGGATGCCAGCAACCATGCTCCACTGCACAGAACACCAGGGGTGCCAAGAACAACTAGCTGAAAAACCTGTCTGGCAAACCCTGCTGTGCTGTGCGTGCAGCTTGTGTGTGTGTGTGTGAGCATGCCTATGTGGCGTGCATGCGTGCGTGTGTGTGCACACACACGAGATGCCACCTCAGGGCTCTAGCCTTGTGCCGTTCGCACGTAGCAGATCTAGGCTGACCCAAGATCTAGGCTGTAAATGGCTGCAGAGGCTGCTGTGAGCAGTGAGGCCATCTCGGGCCCAGCTTGCCCAACTCACACAGCTCCCAATATTCTTGTGAAATGCAAGAGAATACATCAGGTTCAGAAAAGAAGTCAGAGTCTTGAGGCCTGGTTGAGATGGGGGGGGCATCAGAGGACATTGACTTGAGTAAAAGCAAGCTCGGGGGCTGCTATTGAGGCGCTGCAGAGGCTCAGAACCTTGAGGTTCCTCTGGGACTAGAAGTGCCGGTGTCTGGAACTCACCATCCAGGGTCTCCACGGAGAGCTGCAGACCCAGGTTGTGCCGAGGGTTAATGACCCAGTGGTTGCTGGTGGCTGTGATGTCAAACACTAGCCAGCCCTCCTCAGAAGCCCAAAGGGTACGACTGTCCAGCAAGAAGAGATCCGACTCCCTGGAAAGAGGAGAGAGACACAAAGCTTAAGGTTAGGCAGGTCACAGCCAGCAACTTACCAGACAGGGGAAGCCCTGTGTAACAGGGCAAGCAGGGGCAAGGCCTCACTCCCCTAGGCACATGCTTGTCAGCAAAGGACCTGGGCACAATGGCCATTTAGCAGCTGCAACAGGAAAATAAAGTCTAGAGGGAACATAAATACACACAGGGATAGGGAGCAGGCAAAAGGCCATCGTACTCTACCAGATGTCAGGGGGCCCTAGCAAGACACAGGAGAGGCAGGAACTATACAACCTGCAAGTTGCTGGGGCAGAAGGGGATGCCAAGGAGGCCGTTCGCCATGTGTCTGGCACCACACCAACAGCTCCATGCAAGGTAAAGCCACAATTCACCCTATGAGAGGCGGAAGGTGGCTGGCTTGCTGGCTGAGAGCTGGAGCAATGGGTGGATTTGTGGATAGAAGATGGATGGGTAGCTGTGTAGATGGATAGGTTAAGTGAGTGGGTGAATAGATGGATGAAAGAGGGTGGGCAGGGAGGTCAGTAGTGGACAGATGAGAGGGGGTTAGAGTGATGGACAGATGATGGGTGAGTGGCTGGGTAGATGTGCGGGTGGATAAGCGGGTGTGTAAATGGATAGGTGGGTAGATGGATGACAGGTGAATTGATAGAAATAGATGATGGATAGATGACATATGGCTGGGGGGTGACAGACGGATGAGAGGTAGCGGATGGATTGGTGGATGGATAGGGGGTGGATAGATGTGTAGGTATGCGGAGGATGGATGCTTGGGTAGATGAATACCACCCCACCCTTGCATACAGAACAGCTCTTGTGGATTTTTAGTTATCAAGACGCAGTTTCAACATTCTGAGCCCTTCGGTGGTCAACTAAAATACCAGAGCTCCTGTGCTGTTCTGGGCACTGGGTGTCCTCTCCAACCCACACCCTTCCCCGAGACCCTGACAGCTGCCATCAGCCCTGGAGTTACCATCTTTCCTGAGAACAGGGTACGTTTGTATGGCTCACACACAGACATCAGTATGGCAACTGTTGGTTAACACAGATCACTTGCCAGGCTCTGGAGTAGGAAGCTCAACCAGCATCCAGGCTCTGGGGTAGGAAGCTCAACCAGCATCCAGGCTCTGGGGTAGGAAGCTCAACCAGCATCCAGGCTCTGGGGTAGGAAGCTCAACCAGCATCCAGGCTCTGGGTCTTCGCAACAACACTATGAGTAGTCGGAGAATGCTGCCCACACCGCTGGGCAGATATTGAGATGTAGAAGGTGGGTCTGGATGTGTTTCACTCAACCCTCAAGAGTTGCTGACAAATCAGACATGTTGCTGTGTGTCCCCCAAGCCAGCAGCCAGAATCAACACCAAATTCCAGTCTAGATAGAGTCTCCAGTTGGCCCCATTCCCCTCCTCCTACTGAACTACTGCAGGCACCCTCGTCATCATGCCGTATTTCTCAGAGGTCTGCAAGTTCCCTCTCTCCCTGCTGGGAGCCACAATGCATTATAGAGCCACCAAGCCCATCGACACACACAAGCCAGGGAGCAAAGCTGTAAGCAGACCTTAGCACCTAGACGTAGCTAATGCCCAGGCAGATCTGAGGGGACCGGTGGTCTCAGGGATCAAAGTCACCAAAGGTATGCTCTGAGCTGCTTCTCCCTCTTCTCATCCCTCCAGCCAAAAGTCTAGGCGCAGAGAACCTAGGTGACTCAGGCTGGTCCCATGCCCAGGCTTGGGAATGGTGGGTGCTTCAGACGTGGACATCACAGGGGTCATAGGAGGGAGTGTGGGTGGTGTTCATGCATAGCCCCCCCACACACCTGATTTAGAAAAGGCTGAGTTACATCATTGCTTCAGCTAGAACACCATGCCCTTCCCCAACTCATGTTGATAGCTAACCCACACTGTGACGGCATAAAGAGGCGGGCACTTTCAGAGGTTGGTGAGGCAACCAGGGCACTGTCCTTGGGAGTGGACTAGCCCTTGTAAGAGGCGGACAGGGGCAGCGTGCGAGCCCTCTGGACTTACTGACTTTCACCGTGTGAGGACCGAGCAACAAGCTTGCCACCTTGAAACAGCAGCATTTGAGAGGCCCATACCAGCCTCCAGGACTATGACATGAATTTCTGTTCCTGTAAGTTTTCTAGTCTCGGCATTTTGTTACAGCAGCAGAAACAGACTAAGGCACTAAAGTTCTGAACTTAAGCCAGTCAATAAGCCACTGGGTAAGAAGACTATTTAGTCCCTTGGGAGTCAGCCCAAAGTCCTCCAGACCTGCAGATGTCTGGACTCTTGGTTACTTATTACAGAGGCAAGGAAGCCTTTTTAGGGTCACACACGGTTAGAAAGTCCCTAAGTTTGACTTGAATGTCCAAGCTGGATGATAATAATGACCTAGTCTTCAGGACCCACTTACTTCTACCCTGACGTCCCTTTAGAGTGACTTCAAAACTCATTCGTCCAGAATATCTTAGGTGGCATTCAAAGCCACACACAGGGAACTCTGACAGGCTTTGTTTCTGATTTGTCTGATGGCTTCCCTGACTCTGGAGAACCCGGGAACTGTGTGAAGCAGTTGACTACCCTAATGGTCCGTGGATGGAAGCAGAGATGCCACTCCAAGACACCTCCGGCCATCAGCTCCAAGCACGAGATGAGAAACTTGGGTGGCGACAATGTTAGGAAATCAGATATGCAGGAAGATGGGAGCAGATGCTGGCACCGGAAACAATTCCTGTGACCAGGGGACAGACAGAGCAAGCCTTCACACAGGCTGCCCTGCCCACAGATGCTAACACTTCCTTCATTAAAGGCCAGGACACTGGGGCCAGATGTGTCAGCAGTGACTCATGGCCGGATCACCATGGAGGCAGCCACTCCCCACATCCATCAGAGTTTGCAGTCTATCTCAGGCATGCATGGAAGAGCCACACCTTATGTGAGGGGACAGGAGGGGGATGAAGATGTCAAGACACCTCACCAGAACGGAAGCCGGACCACAGGTGAGGGACGGCAGGGACACCCTCAACAGCGGGAAAGTGATGGGAAGCGGGATTCCTGGTCCCTCTCGTGGCGTTGCACAGGACGAAGAGCTGTGACTGGGCCTCTGGGACATTCTTATTTACCCAGAGCACAACGGTTGCGGCCCAGCCCAGGTGAGAACAGAGGCAGGGAAGGCAGGCGCAGGTGCTGGGGCCCCAGGGCACAGACACGCATTCATCCACCTTTGCCACTCCTGAAGCCCGGGTGCTTTCCAAGCCAGCACTCTGAGTGTCCGCCAGCCCTCAGTCATGCTAACATGTCACTCCCAATTTGGGCATGGAGGCACACGTACGTAATCCCAACACTGGGGAGGCTGACGCAATGAGTTCCAGGCAACAGATATGGTTCCCATCTCACATATGTGGGCATGGGGACATGTGGTCCCAGGGGCAAGCCTTATACACGGTAGAACTAGACAGTGGTACAGGAAATCTAAGTCAAGAACCTCTATCACTAAGCCTTGCCCCCCCCACCCCCAGGTCACATGTTAGCAGGGAGTAAATGAGGTACAGGAACTTTTAGGTCCTGTGTGGGCCTTGCCATCCTCCCTGCCCTGTGTGGGACAGGGCACCAGCGGAGGGTGGGATCCAGAGTGAACAGAGACTGCAAGACAGCTCATCCCGAGCTGTGGTGCCCTCCCGGGGAAAATGAGGGCAGTGTCATCCTAGGAAGAGCCAAGTGGAGACGGGGCACACACTGTATCGGTTACGGCAGCATTGGTAAATTCTCCCCGCTCTGATCTGGGAAATTCTAGGGTAAGGCCACTCTGAGGCCCCAGAATAATCTCCAACAGAAGGGCCTCCATCCACTCAAAAGCTTTCAACTGTGCACCTCATCCATGTGCAAAGGCAACTGCGCAAGACTCTAAATATGACCACCACCAGCTCTTCCTGTCTGCATCCAGGATCCATCCCCCGTACAGCAAAGGAAGCTGGCCTCCATCTTTGATGTCTAGGCTGGTTCTGGGACCTGCTGCGTCAACAGGTCCCCGTGGCAGCAAGGTCCAGCCTGGGTCAGGCCTTGAGAGTTGGAGTAGCTTCTGGATCCGCCTCCTGGGAATCGAGTCGCTGAGTCAGCAAGCCTGATTGCATGGGGGGGGGGGGGGATGTCTCCTGTGCTAGATAGTTTTATGTCATGTTGACACAAGCTAAAGTCATCTGAGGAGGGAATATCAATTAAGAAAATGTCTCTGTGAGATCAGGCTGCAGGCAAGCCTGTAGGGCTGGTGGTACTGGGATCTATAACAAAGCAGGCTGAGCAAAACATGAGGAGCAAGCCAGTAAGCAGCATCCTCCACGGCCTCTGCATCAGCTCCTGCCTGCAGGTTCCTGCCCTGACTTCTTTCAATGATGAACACCTGCAGCAGGCTTTCTTGAACTGCCAGCCCCCAGATCATGGCACAGAGACTTATTATTAATTTTGAATGCTAGGCCTTAGCTTTGGCTTGTTTCTAGCTAGTTTTTTAAAACTTCAACCAACCCATTTCTCTTAATCTATGTGCTCCCTGAGGCTCGTTTACCTCATCCTGCTTTCCTGCTTCCTCCGAGTCTGGTTGGCGAGTCCCTGGCTGGCTGCCCCACCTTTTCTCTCTGCCCTCCAGCCCCGCCTATCCTCCTCTCCTAGCTATTGGATATTCAGTTTATATCAGGCCAATCAGGTGCCTCAGGCAGGCAAGGTGAAACAGCAACACATCTTTACATAGTTAAACGATTATTCTTCAATGCAAACAAATGTAACACATCTTTACATAGTTAAGCAATTATTCTTCAATGCAAACAAATGTAACACATCTTTACATAGTTGAGCAATTATTCTTCAAGGAAAACAAATGTAACAGTGATATATAAGTATAAGCCAAATAAACCCTTTCCTCTCCAACTTGCTTTTTTTTTTTTTTTTTTTTTTTTTTTGGTCATGGTGTTTCATCACAGCAATAGCAACCCT